GAGGCGTCCTATTTTGTAAGGGGTCTGATCTTGTTTTCACAACTTGGTCGAGTTGTCAGGGTGACTTAATTGGACGTGCCTCGTCCAAAGTCTTTGGCTATATTTGTTACCCAAGCTTTGGAATGTGGACGCTGGAAATAATAACTAATAAGTCTCCCTTACCACATGATTAATTTGCGAAAACAAGGTCAGACCATTTATATAAAACGAAAGGAGACTGCCACCAAAATAGAGGTCACAAAATCTTGGTCTTCATATCTGCATCCTAATTGAGTTCAGATGAAGACAGAATGAGCTTTTGTGTATCAAAGAAGAGACATTTTCAGGGCTTAATTCGATTCTTATAGAAATTCTAAACTAATACTACATTAAGAAGACTGACTCTACCTTACATGCAAGGCCTAGTGGCAACTAAAGTTAGAACTTTGAATATATTATTAAGTGTAGACAGTTCCTTTTTATGTTGACCTATGTTTCTTCATATTTGACGTGCGTAAGTTGGAAAACGAAACCATAATTCATGATTAATTGAAATTACAATAGAGCCTCAAATCAATTCAGAACCATCAAAGCACGATGGCCCAAGGAAGGGCATAAAAAGTAGTGCGTAATCCCAAACCTACGTGATTATATCCCTAATGTTAAAGTGAAGCTTTTCAAAGATTGAGATACAGCTTTGACAATATCCGTAATAAGGCAGAAGAAAACTCATTTTTTGTATGTAAGTAGAGTTTCAAATTAGCAGTAAATCAGAAATACGAAATGTATTCACCAAATTTCATTTAAGGTGATGAAGGACTGGTTGTATGATTTTTCCACAATGCTAAGAGTAAAACTAACGTTTCCATTGAATTTCACATCGCCATGTTTTCCTAAAAGTTGTTCTCATCCAGGGTTTACTGCACTCTCGACCTCGTGTAGGTCTTATCAACACCGTCAACGGGAGTCGAACTGTGGCAGTGCGGCCACATTGCCACAATTTATTTTGGGTCACAGGGAAGATGTGAACGTCAGCTCTACTCATATCATTGTGGGAAAATTCTACTACCAGTCCTTCATCACCTTAAACAAAATAAGGCAAATACATCTCAGAAGAAAATGCAACCAGTTTTCAGAGGAACTGGAGGAGGTATAGAGTACTGCACTAATCTGTACGTCAAAATTATTATCAAGATAAGCTTTTATTAAGGATCATAATTTGTAGTTTCGAATGCTACGATTTATAAATAAAAGTAATATCATGTGACTGCAGAGCACAAGGAAGCCGCCATCTTCTTTTGTTAGGCTCGACCTATCAATCTATTCATCAGGCAATTTCACACCAAATTAATGCTGCTACAACATAGTCGCAATGTGTTTCACAGCAGGCACATGCATTTCAAGGCAAAGAAAGCCTTGCTAAATAAAAATCTTTTTTTTTGTAGAAACAATAGTCCAGCCTATATGAAAATGGCCTTTTCGGATGCAAAATGAAGTGGCATAGACAGAAGACGGTTACTATGAAAGTTCTGCTTCCTAACTTTACGAGGAATGGTAAACTAGCGTAGCGACCTGAACTGATGCATGCTAAGTTCGTAAATGGATAGAGCATAAGCCTAAATTCGGCAAGTATGCGACAACATCGGACTGAGACCTTCAAGGCGGATGTAAGCAGAACGCGTGGCCCTTCCATGAACATTCTCGGCCATGGCTTTGTAACGACCTGTTAGGGAGCCAGAGAAGCAAAGTTAATCGAAATCCGGTACATAAGAGCAGAACTTTCACCGATACAAAGTTTAGCTTAACATATTATATGGAATAAGAAAAATCGTTTGCAAGCTTTATCGCTTCGTCAAGGTAATTAGGCTGGAGTTGCCTTGTCGATGTTAAAATGATACCAAAGAAGAAGAATAAACACAAGAGTTGGGAACAATCTGGCGCTTTTATAGACAATTACCAACAATTAAACAGTACAATTCTAGTTTATCCTTCTAAGAAGCTCTTGAAGAATTCCTAAAAAAAACAGCTACCACGATGCGTGACCAGCAAATCTGGTTCCTCTCAACCTGTTGCTAGCTCTTTCACGCTTTGCTCACAACCATCGAAGCGTTTGGATCCTCCTTTGTAGATTTTTCTTGAGGTAGATCACACCATGTTGACATATTTCTTAAACTGAGAAATCACCATTTTGGCAAGTAAGCTGCAACAAGCTCCCAATCCTAACAAATACAAAGGGTCTGGCTATTATTCTTCGTAAGTAAATGAAATATAAGAGCCCTACTGGTTCCTAATATCTTTAATCCCTGTTTTACTCTCGTCAGGCAGAAGAAAACCTAAAGTGAGCAAACTTTCGAGAGTTCTCCAATTCCATACAGCATGAAAGTATGCAGTTAACATGATGCGCAATTACCTATTAAAGTGAAAAACCCTCCGCATCCGGCGAAGAATAGCCTACAAACAAAAACATGGTTGAACTAATGAATAAGCAAGTAGATCTTTCGGCTACTCACAATGGCTTACCAGGAAAGAGGAAGAACCTGAGGGACTCTTCTCGGAAGGGGACAGCTTTTTCGCGTCCACCGATTCCATGAGGCCTTCGGAACTGGTACCAGGCTGTGGTGGGATTTCTTCTACTACATCGACTGCCACCTCGACGTTTGTCATGAAAACTTCGGGCGGTGGCCGATAGCGTAAGATGATTATGGCGATAGAGGCGATTGTGTAGGCCATCAAAGTGCCCAAGCTGAGAAAATCTGTCAAACTTTCTATAGGAAAAATCACGGTCATTACAACTGTGATCACAGTGACTAGGATGATCGAGAATATCGGTGACTAAAAGTGATGGATCATAAAAACAGATTTAAAGATGAAATGGTTTTAATACTCAATATTTTAAATGAAGACGAGTGATTAGCGTTAAGAAAGATGCTTAAAGACCTTGAACTTAAACGGTTATCAAAAAGGATTTTTGCTATACAATGGAATGAATCACTGATAAAAATTCACATATTTGTCTCGTTATCATCAATACGATGGAGTGATATTCTTAGTTTGTCTTTAAATACCTAGGAAAACTATTGGCTTGCCTAGATACCCCGTAA